TAATATTAACCTAATATATGTTACATCTATGATCCATTTTCCTACACTTGCTAAAAAGTAATTTAAGTTTAAATAACTAGCTAGTAAATATAGTAGTAGATGATATATTCCATTCCATCTTATATATTGAACTGGATATTGAAATGAGTTTCTTGTGATCGAGATTTGGTCGATCTACCAATAGGAGCCTTTATAGGGCTTTTTTCACGTTTAGCCCGTGCCAGAAACTATTTAAATTTGGTCCTTGAAACTACAATGGAAACATGATAGTTGCATCCAGCAATTGGAACCTCTTTTCCCCTTTTGTTTGTTGAGATTTTATCTACAGTTTGACCCTAAAATATAAAACCAACATATATCCTTTCGGCCTTTCTCATTTCACTCTTTCATAGAACAAGATGATAATCATCTCTGAACAAACAGGACTTTGTCGTAATATTCTATACATCCACACAATGAACTTAGAAAGGTTTGGTGGACAATTGTCCAGCCTTGATTATTCAGGTCTATCTCTGTGATCTTTCTAGTGCTTCCTGGTATCGTGCTTGTCTAACACCATTTAATAGCATTGATTAATTAATAACGTTGAATAAATGGTAAGTAACTCTTTATAATATGTTGAATTTCATTAATTGTGTAAAAGGTCAGTGATATATCCATCAAATGAATTAAATATAGATTTAAAAAACTCCCCCCTCCTTATCCCCATCCGCATATGGATCAATAAAAAATTAAGACTTAGATCCAAACCGTACTGGTGAACCAACTGGCCATTAGAGATAGTTATGATAGAAATTTACCAGTCTCTTCTAGAAACTTCTAGTGTGACTCACATATAAAGTAATACATTATTTATATTGTTTCCCAAAGGAAATAATATATCAAATAATATTATGTAGTTATGCGTATATAGTAGTTTCTTTGATGAAAAGAAACAATTTTATTACAAGTCCCTAGGGCTAAAGTATTTGCCTAAGAGTCCCTAAATACTTCTGTGACTCCATTAGTCTGGCATCCAACGATAGGCACAGGCTAGAAGACTCCCTATTTTTTCTGCTAAAGGTTTCAAAGGTGATCCCCTGCAAAGCATGAATAACTATGGCTGAAGGTACGTTCCTTGTTCAATTTGCGCTGCGGTGACTCTGTGTATGTGTTTGAATTTCAACAAGATAGAATGTAGGACATTTACACAGGAGGTATATGGAATATACCATACCATATACGAGCCACACGTGCATGGCTGACAAATGAATTAAAAGAGAAATTTTCATAAAACACTATCTTTTAGTAGTAATTAGCTATCTATAGATACCATTTGCTATATTACGGATTGTAGATACCTTTCTAATGTTATAAGATGTATTTGATGTATTTAAGCTACTGTATTCATGAATACAGTAGCAAAAATAAGCGTGAATCAGGGAAGTCCAGCTAATCAGTTGTTATATTCAACTGTATTGACGAGCTGTATTCGTGAATACAATAACGTATAATGCGTAAAATATGGACCTTTTGTCACGACCCCGGTTCGCCCTTCGTGAACCATCGTGACGGCACCTAGTCTCTACGACTAGGTAAGCCTAACAATGCGGAAAAATAAACCAACTTGCGGAATAAATTATTAAAAACCGAAATAGTAAAATAAAACAGTATTTTAAAGTGCCGCTTGGCATAAACAATATCAACTCTCAAAAACTAATACATTTCCCAAAACCCGGAATCTCATGATCACAAGCCTTTGAATGTCTACAAGCATCTAACTCCAGAATATCTAACAAAGAAACGAAAGTACATAAGGGCTAATACAAAATGGGGGAGTAGAAAGGGACTCTTCGATCTGCGAACGCGGGAGATATACCTCGGAGTCTCTACGAACGCCTCGTCTCAAGCGTGATAAGTCTGAGTGGAGGTACCTGGATCTGCACATGAAAAACATGCACAGAAAAGGCATGAGTACACCACGGCGGTACTCAATAAGTGCCAAACTTAAGCTCAGTCGAGTAGTGACGAGGAAGGTCAGGGCCTTACTGAGGTTAAATAAAATATAAGATTCAACAGTGTAGAACAAAATAGTATAAGTAAGTACAACAGTAAAAGTAACACAGGATATAAAGGACAACAACAACTACTACAGCGGCAAAGTAAACACAGAAAGAAATACAGCTCAGTACAAAGATAACAATCGAGGATCTCCCAGGATACCGTCCCGTAGTCCCAAATATAAATATCCAGTGGATCTCCGGGGATACCGTCCCGTAGTCCAACTCATCAAGCGAGAGGATCTCCCGGAATACCGATCCGTAGTCCCAAATGTAAATACTCAGTACAGGGGGAATCTATCGGGTGTAGTCCCATAGTTCCAATGTAAATGTGCAGGGGGATCTCCAGGAATACCATTCCGTAGTCCCAAAGTAAACATACAGGGGGATCTCCCGGGATACCGTCTCGTAGTCCCAAAGTAAACACACAACAACAACAAGAAGAGTACACAGTTCAAATCAAGTTCCGTACCAAGGTAAAATAGGTATTTCTAACCTAGCATGCTGCACGAAATCCAAATAAAGCAGGTTGAGCAAGTAAGACAATTAAGTCAATTAGACATGTTTTCCTAAGCTAACAACATGCTTAAATTGCAAGTAATATAAAAAGGAAAGGAAACATACTAGTAATTACTTAATGAAAATCGGATTTTCAACAATTTGCACAAGTACGCACTCGTCACCACACGTACAAGGCATCTCAATTATCAATAATACCAAATCCTAAGGGGAAGGTCCCCCACACAAGGTTAGACAAGCCAGTTACCTCGAACCAACTCAAAATCAACCCGAAACCACGCTCTTGCCACGAGTACTCGACTCCAAATGGCCCGAATCTATTAAATTCAATTCCATAATGTAAATAACACTTCAAGTAACTGATTCTACAAATACATTCTAAGCTAATACGCAAAATTAGGTAAAATGACCAAAATGCCCTCCGGGCTTACGTCTCGAAATCGGGTAAAATCTACATTTTAAGAATCCTCATACTCTCACGAGTTCATTGATATCAAAATTATCACAATCCGACATCAAAATCGTGATCCAAATTCAAATGTTAAGTCCAAGAACTTTTCCAACTTTTCTTCAATTTTTCCACCCAAAATTCGAATTTAAAGGATGAATCTAAGCATAGATTCGTGGACAACAATCAAAATCGAGTAATAATTGCTTACCCAAAACACCCAGGTGAAAATTCCTCTCAAAATTGCCAATCCCGAGCTCCCAAATCAATTTCTAACTTTCTGAAACTAAACTCTCGAAACTCTGATTTTCTGCCCAGCAAAACCGCATCTGCGGTCCACCTTCCGCATCTGCGGTACCGATTCTGCGGTCAAGGAGACCGCTCCTACGATTTCCACTTAAAACCTCTTCGCCGCACCTGCGACCCAGAATTCGCATCTGCGATCACGCAGGTGCAGTTCATCATCCGCTTCAGCGGTTCCCTGATTTTCCTCAGCTGGCCGCTTTTGCGGCTTAATTCCGTATCTGCGGCCTCTCAACCACATATGCGGTTATGACAGCACCCCAAAGAACATCAACTGTAAACTCCAAGTTTCCAATTTCCCGTTAACCACCCGAAATCATCCCGAAGCCCCCGGGACCTCAACCAAAAGCACGGACAAGTCATATACCACTATCCAAACTTATACAAATCTCCAAAATACCTCAAACAACATTGAATCAACCAATTAGCATCGGATTCAAGCCTAAGAACTTCTAAAACTCTCAAAATACGCTTTCGATCAAAAAGTCTACCAAACCTCGTCTGAATCACCTGAAATTTTGCACACACATCACATTCAACCCTATGGAGCTACTCCAACTTCCGGTATTCCATTCCGACCCTCGGATCAAAATCTCACTATCGAACCAGAAACTTCAAAAATTTGACTTTCGGCATTTCAAGCCTAAATTAGCTACGGACCTCCAAAACAAAATCTGAACATGCTCCTAAATCTGAAATCAGCCAACAGAGCTAACAGAACTATCGGAATTCCATTCTAAGGCCGTCTTCACACTATTCCGACTACGGTCAAATTTGCAAAACTTAAGCTCTCATTTAGGGACTAAGTTTCCCAAAACTCTCCGAAACTCCAAATAATTCCTCTCGGCAACTCACAATAACAGAAACAAACACGTGGAAAGCAGTTAATAGGGGATCTACGCGTTAATTCTTAATACGACCGGCCGGGTCGTCACACCTTTTAACTGGTTTAAAACGGAAAGGAAATCAATTTACTAGATATTCTCCTAATATAACTCAACTAACACAAACTATCGCCCATAAATCTGTATTCATTCACGAAAGATTTCCAATCAGAAAAATAGGCAAAAGTAGAGATACCTCTAGATTTCAGTTCTCCCTTTTTTCTGTTGTTCTAGTGCGTACCTAGTTCTCTTTTCAACGACGAAAAATTGCAATTGATATAATTGTATACAGAAATAAGGTATAATTCAATTATACATATGGCAAGTTTAATAGTGTTATTGCGTCATTCGGGAAAATGGAACAGTGATAGCAATTACGTCAATTATTCAATTGAGAGAATATTGATAAAGGAGTATGCGTCGTATAGTGATTTGGTTGCATCAATTTCTAATCAACTGGACATAGATTTGAGCTCAAAGTCCATTAAAATTCAATAAAAAGTAGAAGGAAATTGTATGTCAATGGAAATACACAATGATATGGGTTACAGGGTGTATGTAGAGTTGAAAAAAAAGAATAGAGAATTCGGGATGTATCCTTTGTGCATAACAACGATTGAAAAAGAAGTTGTATCCGGAGGTAGTTTAATTCAAGAAGACATTGTGCAAATAGACGAAGCAGTTCAAAGGTATGATTCCGATACAGATGATACATTTGCTCTAGATTTTGTCAATTCTGGAGAAGCAATTGGGGTGTTCGAACTGGACAAGGATTTGATAATTTAAAAAACTAATCAAAGGGAGGTTATGGCTGGACAAGTATATAAGGATAAGGCTACATTAAAAGAGGTGATGGAGCATTATGCTATATCGCAAAGGTTTCAATTCCGGGTTGATAGGTCTAATGCTGTCAGGTTTGAGTGTTCTTAATTATTCATTATTTTTTTGTATATTGTATTCATGGTAGGAGTTGTAATTTATATATTGATGTATTTAGGCGTAGTTGGGAATTTTCACTTCATCTTCACTGCTGTGATTCACTATTTTTTTTATGCATTTCAAATACATGTATTCTTGTGTATTTTACTTGTATAAACTTATTACAGTGAGAGCCACTATTTTTCTTTTTGGTTTATTAGTTGTATTTAAATGTATGCATATAACTATAGGCGTATTCAGACATATTTAATTATATACCATTGTATATATTTCTGTTGTAAAATAATTTATATATATAGATGTAATAATGTATTCATGTATATATGAGTGTATTTTTTGAAAGCATTTATACTGATCATATGTATAATGATAAATTCTTTGCAGCTATAGATTATTATGTATGTTAGAAGATTGTGAATGGAGGTTTAAGGCTTCGAGCATTAACAAATCAGAACTATTCAAAGTGAGAGAGTTCATTGATAAGTATACATGTCCGTTGAAGGACAAGGTGTATGAGCAACGACAGGCAAGTAGCAACCTTATAGGTGGTATGATTAGGCCCAAGCTTACTAATCATAAGAGGAAATACACTCCAAAGAATATTATTGATGATGTGAAATCAGATTTAGGTGTAGATGTTTGCTACATGTTGGCGTGGCGGGCTAAAGAAAAGGCAATAAATTTTTTGAGAGGTGAACCGGCTGATTCATACAAAGAATTACCAGGATACTTATATACAATGGATATGACATATCCTGGTTCACACATTAGAATGGTAAAATCGCCCAAAAATGAGTTCATGTATGTTTGTATATCTTTGTATGCCTTTATAAAGGGGTTTGATCATTGTAGAGCCATTGTGGTTGTGTATGGAAGTCACCAAAAACTTTACTACACCGGGACATTCGTCTCGGCCAACACATTGGATGGTGCAGGTGAGTATGTGAATTATAATAAATTTTGTTAATATTAATTGCTATGTCATATAAAATGAGTTCCATTTTAAAGATTGAAATGCATATTTTAAAAAAATGTATGCAATTGTCTTTACAGGTCATATATTGCCACTACCATATGGTGTTATTGATTCAGAGAACGATGATGCTTGGTCGTGGTTCTTTGAGCAATTCAAGATAGCATACGGTGACAGGAAAAACATGTGCATCGTTTCAGATGGAAATGGGAGTATCATTAAATCTGTATCGAGAGTGTATCCAGATGTACCGCATTTTGCTTGTATATGGCATCTATGGAACAACGTATATAAGAAATTCAAAAAGAGCCATGCAAAGTTGAGCGAGATATACTTCTCGATGGCAATACACACAGGCTGAATTTGACAGTCTAATGGAGAAGGTGGAGAAGGTAGATATTAGAGTGAAAGAATACTTGGAGTTAGCTGGATACGAAAAGTGGGCTAGGTTGTATGCACTTGTTAATAGGGGAAGGACCATGACGTCAAATATTGCTGGGTCAATCAATGCTGCACTAGTGTCAACAAGGGAATTTGCCAATATACGACTTCCTCGAAGAAGTTAGAAAGATGTTTGGACGTTAGAATTGCAGTAACCGCAAAGAAGCTACACAGACATACACAATGTTTGGAAAAAAATACCAGGAAATGCTTACTTTGAATGAGGCAATGTCTACACGCATGACTGTAAGTTTCATTTTTATGTCATTGTATTATATATTTAGCCTTTGTTTTAGATAGCTAACTTTTTTCTGAAACAATTTATACTATTTGGAATACTGTCCACATGTTTAGTGTATTGTTAGTTGAATTTAATGTGTTTATTTTCTATCCATACGCATTTTTTAAGCAGACGTTAGATGTATAACAATGTAATCATAAGCTAATATGTAATTATATTTAATATTCTGCCAGTCTATATATATGATGTATTATTCTGTATTTAAACATTTCCTTTGTATTCAACTGAATAATTTTGTATTCTAAATACAGAAATATGTTTGTATTCAATAGATATTTGATTTAATTCATACTGCTGTATATTTAATACGTCCATTCTTTGGTATATAAATGAATTTTTTTATTTATATATGCTTAAAACTTATAGGTCTATGTTTAAATGTAGGTGGTACCATCGACTGAATACTTACATACGGTTAACGATGAAGGGAGGCATTGCACTGTCTGCCTGTTAGAGAGAAAATACGTTTGTGGGAGGTTCCAAGTTGATGAATTACCATGCCCACATGCTTGGGCTAAATTGAAGAGCAAGTTTCTAATGCTAGAAGATTATTGCTCTGACTATTACAAACCAAATTCTGTTGTAATGACATACAATGTGCCTGTGTACTCGATACCGGACCGAAATGAATGGAATATACCAGCACATATTGCAAAGGAAGTTATATTACTACCCAAATGGAAAAGACCTCCTGGAAGGCCAAAGAAGAAGCGCGATAAGCTTTTCAGTGAATTGTTGCAGCCGAAAAATCAACATTCATGTAGCATATGTGGGCAGGGAGAACATATAAGAGAACGTGTAGAAATGCTCCACGTAGAACTTAGTTAACATTCTGACATGTATTAGTGCTCTAATGGTGTGTCATAGATTCCGATGACATTGTGAAATAATACATTTTGCACTTTTTCGTGAATAGATTCTGGATATAGTTAGTTGTATTATTGTGTTGAATACATTCGAATACAACCTGTTTAATACATACTTAGACAATCTGTTATACACAGTGCCTGACTTGAATATATACATCCAACTACAATACATCTGAATACAGTTATATATTCATTTAATATAATATGTTGAATACATAATTATACAATCTGCTGAATATATACTTATAGCCCCTGTATTATTCAGTTTCTGAATTGGATATACTATCATCCACACATCAATTGCCTTTTTTAAAACTCCAAACTCTACCCTACCGCCTTTGATCCTTTGGAATATTTGGATTAATAAGAACTCAAACCTCTTCAACCACACTTCCTCCCTCACATGCCACAAAAATATCATGACACAAGTTGCTGAATTCATTTCACTCGCGCAGATTATTGTGACATCAAATCCTAGGCTTCACATACAAATAAGATGGTTCCCACCTCCTAGCCACTACAAGATAAACGTTGATGGAGCTTATGACATAAAAACCAGTGGCACTAGTAGACTCATCAGAGACTATAGTAGCTATTGGATAGTGTGTTTTGTGCAGAAGATAACTGCAATATCCGCTCTTCATGCTGAACTGCTGGCACTAATAACAGGGCTAGAACTTTCCATCACAAAAAATCTCTTACCCACTATAGTGAAAACAGATTCACAGGTATTATGTCACTTATTTAAAGATGAAGAACCCTGCTACTCACATCTTCTTCATGATTGCAGTTTTCTTCTTAATGTTGTTGGAGTGAAAGAAATAACCCACATATATTGGGAAGGTAACTCTGTATCTGACACTCTGGCAAAGTATGGAAGTACTAAGCAACAAACAACAACGGAGAGAGATAACACTATATACTGAAAAACACCTCCGAACTTTATTTTACAAGTTTTTAATATAGACAAACCGTAAAAAACCTGTCACAACCCAAAATTAGTAGTCGTGATGGCACATAACCCAACCCGCTAGGTAAGCCAACTAATAACTATCAAGTTCAATAATATTAATTAAACAATTAAACAAAGGAATTTTTCTGAATCTTTTACATTTTCCAAGGACTAGTAGTACAAATCACGAGCTTCTAAAAATAGAGTTTACGAAGCTGATATGAAGAAAATACATCTTCTGTTTGGAAAGTACATAAATAGAGTTTTATAATCTAAGGCTACCGTGAACAAGAGGAAGCTACAGCAGGAATGCAAGTACGCCTTCAAATCCATCATTCATCGAACACAGCAACATCGGCATCCAGAATCTACACGCAATGTGCATGAAGTGTAGTATGAGTACAACCGACCATATGTACTCAATAAGTAACAAACCTAACCTTAGGTTGAAAGCAGTGATGAGCTGAAAAAAGGTCGGGTCCAACACCAATAACCAATAGCAGTTCATAACAATGTAAAGCGAGTGAACAAATAAGTAGGTCAGAGGTAGAACGTTTAGCCTTTTCATAGTTTTTCCAAAAAATAGTCTCGCTTTTCAAGAATATTAGTGAAAAACCCAAATCCTTTACCGAAATCTTCGAAACAAAATATGAGATAGTTGAAAATTGAAATTTTTCCCAAAATCCTTTCCACAACAAATAAGATGTTTCATTTTCTTTCAAAATAGTAGGTCTGAAATACTTTCCTATGCCCACATATCAATGTGTATAAAGAAAATCATGAACGACATGATACCTAGTATAAGGAAGAGTACATCTCTATGCATGTATGTCATGTATGCATGCCAATACCATGTATCCAAGAGATGAGACATGTACTCACACTCTCCACTCATAAATGCTCAATCACTCGGTACTATATATGGCTCATACGGCCAAGGGGAAGATCCATCCCGGAATATATACATCACTGATCATCAGTCACTCAGTACCGAGGAAGGCCATTCCGGCCCCATGGAGAAGATCCATATCTAGGTATACATAAATACTCAACCACTCGGTACTGTATATGGCCCATGAAACCTAGGGAAAATCCATCCTGGGACATATACAATACTAACTATAAGTCACCTAGTACCAAGAAAAAAGGGCAATCCAACTCTGTGGAGAAATCCATATCCAGATATTAAATACTTCAGACAAATATATGTCCGAAAAAATCCATCCCTCAATAATATCATCCGCGCTCACTGGGGGTGTGTTACAGACTTCGGAGGGGATCCTTCAGTCTAAGTGTTATCATAATCATCAATATAACCGCTGCGGCATGCAGCCCGATCCCATAATTGTTACTCATAATCGGGCTTTCGGCTTCACTCGGTCATCAATCTCTCCAATCTCATCCACGGGCTCATAGTGTCATGAAAACTGACCCAGAACAATGATATGATGTATCAATAAGTAACAACTGAGACTAAGATATGATATGAATGCATGAATGTGACTGAGTACGAAATATCAATAAAATCAATGAGATGATAGCAAGAGACGACCACTATGGGTCCCAACAATATCGGCATAAAGCCTAAGCATGATATATAACATGATGTATAGCTCAATTACTTTATCATATGGTGAAAAACACAGATATCAATAAAGTAGGGCCACTAAACAGTGCCATGAAAACAACGGAGTCACAATTCACAAGGTGCACACCCACACGCCAGTCACATAGCATGTGTGTCACCTCAACACAAATCACATAGCACATAATTCGGGGTTTCATACCCTCGGTACTAAGTTTAAAAGAGTTACTTATCTTAAACAAGCCAATTCTAGACGCCAAGCAAGCCAAGCGATGCTCTAAGAATGCCATCCCGCGCGTAGCAACCTCCGAACGGCTCAAAACTAGCCAAAAGCAACCCAAATACATCAGATAAAGCCCAAGGAAACAATTACAAATGATAAGGATCGAATCCTAAGTCAAATCCCAAATCCAATCAAAAATACGCTCGGTCCCGCACCTCGAAATTCGACAAAAATCACAAAATCCAACAACTCATTCAATTATGAGAACAACCATACTAGTTTCACTCAAATACGACTCCAAATCGGTGTTCAAAACTCAAAATTCATATTATGAAACTTTAGGCCATAACCCCCAATTGTCTCTTTCAATTCATCAACCAATTGCTAAAAAAAAAGATGGATTCGTGAAATATAATCAAAAATGAGTAGAGAACACTTACCCTAATCCTTGTTATAAAATTTTCTCCAAAATCGCCTCAATCCGAGTCTCATATCTCAAAATATGAAGAAAGAACTAAAACCTCGATTTATAGCTTCTGCCCAGCAATTTCCGCAATTCAGACAATAGGTCGCATCTGCGACTCTCGCAAATGTGGAAAAGGACTCGCATTTGCGAGACAGCCGCTTATGCGATGGCCATGACCGCACCTGTGGTCGCACTTCTGCGTAATTACCTATGCATTAGCAGACTTCTACCCCCTCAGCGAAATCCCACTTCTGCAATGTTTGCTCGCTTCTGTGGCCATCGCACCTGCGCAATACTTGTCGCAGGTGCGGAACACCAGAACCACTGTCACACCTCCTTTTTACGCGCCTACCCCGAATGATAAATGCGTGAGGGAGTTTTTCCAATTTAAGTGACAATATTCGAAAATGGGATTATTTATTTAATTCATAGTCGCCACTTGGGAAAGGTTTGGCTTTTGGTGTCCCAAGTCACTGGTTTATCTTGAATCCCAATTCGAGGAAAATATTTGACTTTCCAAATGAAGTCTGCGAACCAGAAATTCTAAGTAAGGAATTCTGTTGACCCGAGGGAAGGTGTTAGGCACCCCCGAATCCCGTGGTTCTAGCACGGTCGCTTAAATTGTTGTAATGGCTAAATATCTGATTTTTATACATGTTATGAACTGTGTGCTTTTATTAAGTTTAAAACCGCTTTATTATTATTTTTATAGAATTGCAACGTCGTGGAAATGGATCTTCGAACCACGTTGCAATCAATGCACCCGTGGTTGTTGATACATTCCGACACCGTTGAGATTTGGATTTGGGTCGCATAAATGCGCACCCGAATTGAAGAATGTAATTTAATTAAAAATCGCGCCTAAAGAGTCTAACGCGTTATTATCTTTAAGGAAGGCAGTGAAATTCGCTAAACGGCTCATCCCAAATTCTAAGTATTTATTATGACCAATTATTGAGGGCCCCGCAATTTGCATTTTTATTTGGCGAGGCTCGTCTCATTATCAAAAAGAATTGACCTATAGTGACTATATTTTATATTTCGTTCGTCTCTATAATGAAAGAAAAAGAGTTCTAACTTATTTACATGCTCACGAGTTATTATAGTTGAGTTTCGAAAGTGAGTCGTTAAATCTGAAAACGATACAATAAGAGCAGTTGGTCAACAATTATGGGTCCAAGTCCGATGTATAAGGGGTAAAACTGGACCTGTGCCATCCTTATTCAGACGTTGGGCTTAGCTAAATGATTCTACACTTGTTCAAACTTTAAGAATCCGAAATGAAAGTGATACCTAATGAAACCCGTTTTTTAACGAATTTAGATGAGCAAGTTGTTAACTAAAATAGTTTGAACTATTGAGTAATCAATCTAAGGCCTGATGTGTGTCATACCTCCTTTTTCCGCCCCCGCGGGGGCGTAGGAATTTTTCCAATTAAAGGACAATCGAAACGGAATTTGTTTATTTATTTCAGAGTCGCCACTTGGGAGATTTTAGGGTGTCTCAAGTCACCAATTTAATCCGAATTGAGGAAAAGAATGACTTTGTATTACAGTCCGCGAACCAGAAATCCGGATAAGGAATTCTGTTAACTTGGGAGAAGGTGTTAGGCATTCCCGAGTTCCGTGGTTCTAGCACGGTCG